TCCTTTCTTATTTCTCTGTGTCTTTTTGTAAGAGCAAGGAAGTCAAGTACATTTCCTTGAATCTCACATGACCAGAACTTTATCACATGCCTAGACCAAGCACTGACAAGGGGAATGTAACCTCATGATTGGCTTAGATATGTCGGTGTTTCACGCATCTCCTTCCCATTCAGTCTGGCTCCAACAGAGCCAATCTCCTCTGAAGCCCATAGTTACGTCCAAAAGGGTGGCTACTTGAACCTAATCAGGGTTCTATAAGCAAGGAGGAAAAGGGGGGATGGACATTTGTTAAGTAAATGGCATGATGCTGCTGTGATAATCTCTCAGTGGGGCACAGATAGAGGACCTATGAATACAGAGGTCCAGTTACACTATCATAAGTCTGGATGTGGCTCTATTTTTTTAAAAAATAGGCTCTGTACCTAGCATGGAATCCAATGTGGGGCTTGAAGATCAAGACCTGAGCTGAAATCAAGAGTTGGATGCTCAGCCGAGTCACCCCAGCACCCCTGGAGGTGAATCTATTTAAAGAGTCTGATACGTGCTACCAAAACAGTGGTTCTCAACTATTCATTCATTCATTCATTCATTCATTCATTCAATATTAATGAATGGCTACCACGGGTCAAGCACTGTGCCAGGTATTATAGATAAAATGGTGAACTTATCTTACAGAGCTTCACAACCTAATAGATAAAGCAAATATCAAAAAAATAATCCACAAGTAAATGTAAATTTATTACTTGGTTAAGTATTACAAAGGAACCCAGGATATTTGTTTTCTCTTTTTAAAATTGAGGTAAATTCACGTGATGAAATGCAAAGATCTTAAGCATACAATTTGAGGTACATGTGTGACAGCTACTCCATCAATGTATGGAACATTTCCATCACCCTAGCAAATTTCTCCATTCCCTCTTTCAATTCAATACCTACTTCCCTCCCACCCCCCACCATAGGCAACCATGGTTTAATTTATTTTATCAGGATTACTTTTGCCTGGTCTCAAATTTCATATAAATGGCTTCTTTTGTTCAATGAATGATTTTGAGATTTATCCATGTTGTTGTATTTAAATAGAGTTCATTTAAAAATTTGTGTCCCATTGTTTGATTAATTTGTCTATTTTTCTGTTGGCAGACATTTGGGATTTTTCATTTTGGGTCAATAATGAATAGAGAGGTTTTGAATATTCATGCATAAGCTTTTTGTGGATACATGTTTTCATTTCCATTGAGTAAATACCCAGGAGTGGAATTGCTGGGTAATAGGGTAGAAATGTGTTCAATGTTATAAGAACCATGTATGTTAGAACAAATAAAGGAATTCAGTAAAGTTGTAAGATACAAAATCAATATTACAAAAATCTGTTGCATTTCAATACACTAACTATGAACTATCGGAAAGAGAAATTAAGAAAACAATTGCATCGAAAAAAATGAAACACCAGGAATAAATTTAGTCAAGGAGGTGAAAAACCTATACACTGAAAACTATAAGACATTGATGAAAGAAGTTGAAGAAAACACAGAAAGATGCTCTGTCCTCATGGAGTAGAAGAATTAATATTGTTAAAATGTCTATACTACCCAAAGCAATCTATAGATTCAATGCAATCTGTATCAAAATTCTGATGGCACTTTTCACAGAAATAGAACAAACCATCTTAAAATTTGTATGGAACCACAAAGGACCCTGAAGAGCTAAAGCAATCTTGAGAGAAAGAAGAACAACACTAGAGGTATCATGTGCCCTGATTTCAAACTATATTACAAAACTATTGTAATCAAAACAGTAAGATATTGGCATAAAAACAGACACATAGATCAATAGAACGAATAGAGAACCCAAAAAAATGCCCACACATTTATGGTCAATTAATGTATGACAAAGGAGGCTTTTTTGTTTTATTTCACACACACAAACATGTTTTATATATAATGTTTATTTGGAACATTACTCAGCCATAAAAAGATGGAATCTTGCTATTTGTGACAACATAGATAGACTTTGAGGTCATTATGCTAAGTGAAATAAATCAGGCAAAGACAAATACAGTATGACAATCACACCTAAAAAAAAAAAAAAGAACGGTGGATATTTAAAAAATATTTAGATTCCTGGTCTTCAGTCCCAAAAATTCTCAGTCAGTCTGAGGTTCCTAGGCACATATAGTACGTTGTTTTGAAATTCCACAGAACCACTGGTTTAAATTACAGTGGTGGTAGTGGAAAGGAAGTTACTTTGGTTTTCTGTTCCACCACAAAAACATATAAATGCAAACAATTGCTGTTTTTTTTTTTCCTGGTTAGCTGCAAAATAGCTTTCTCTGAACATTTCCTCCCCACTCTGTCCATTAGCTGCAATGTTGAAATAGTCTCTCCTTGACTCCTAACTCTGGGAAACGAACTAGGGGTGGTGGAAGAGGAGGTGGGCGGGGGGTGGGGGTGACTGAGTGACCGGCACTGAAGGGGGCACTTGATGGGATGAGCACTGGGTGTTATTCTGTATGTTGGCAAATTGAACACCAATAAAAAATAAATTTATAAAAAAAAAACCTTTTTTTTTTTTTAGTCTCTCCTTGTAGTTTTTCTGGTGAAATAGTCTCTCCTTGTAGTTTTTCTGGTGAAATGCAAAGCTCTGTTTTTTTCTGCTCTTCCTTAAAGTGAAGTGAAAGCTCAGGGAACTCCTTGGAGCAGCCCTTAGAATTGCTAGGATAAGTAAATAAAATCAGGTCCTTAGGATGGAAGAGAACTTAGTACTGCATGCAGATGAGGATGTGTGGCTGGTATACTGGTAGAATTTTCTCTGCTTTAACTTTTTTTTTTTAACTATTCTTTTACCTGGCAGCAGAAAATAATCAGCTGCGTTCTGGCAGCTGACAACATCAGACAGCTGTTTCTGCACATTCAGCATAGTGACAGCCCAAATGGCTGCAGATCACTACAGAAGAGGTTCCCAGTTTCTAGGCAGAGAAACTGACACATAGGAATAGGAAGAGAGTCACTTAATGGCTTAGGGGCTGGCTGAGCTGGGACCAGAACCCAGGTGGCTTGGCTCCCAGCCTGGCTGACCACACTGCTACCCACATAGCCTGGGCTGACCCAAAACAAGCAGCCCATTGAGCAATTGCACAAACAACAATGAGTGATGGATGGTCAGAGCAAGAAACAGCCACAAAGCAACTGCAACCCCATCACTTCCTGGCCCCTAAATTTCCAGGCAAGCCTGTAAATTTGTGGTTACTTAATTGAGTTTGGCCCAGCTTTCAAATTTGGAAACTTTGTGGTTACTGCCAAAAGTTAAAGTCTGTCTTATAATGGGAGTGGAGAGTGCCTCCGAACTCTTTACCTGGTTCTAATAAGGTGGTAGTAGTGGAGTTAAGACTAGAAGGGCATTTAAAAAAAAAAAAAAAAAAAGGCTAGAAAGACAGGGTCAACAAATTAGCATAATTTCTTCCTGGGAGGGCTTTCGTGAAACAAGTCAACTTTAGATTTTTGAGGCTCCTCATCTGTGGATCTGTCCTCCTACCTCAGATTTAGCTAGCAAGGGGTGATTGTAATCAATGGAGTTCAGTTAGAATCTAATTAGATGACCAAGTCTCACTCTACTCTCCTCCTCAAATTTGCCACTGAACAGTAGCCAAAATTTGTAGTCCTCACATGCTTGAAGTCCAGGCCAAATGGCTCTGCTTGCCAATTTGTACTGTTGGTCCTGGGTGTGCCTCCTGCAAGGCACTCTGACCTGCTTGGCCTTGGTATGGCCTTAGGCCCAGCCCTAAATCAACACTAAACCTTGGGTGTCCCTAGGAGATAGAGCTGCCTGTCTAGGCAGCTTCCTGTTTCAGGTGTCCACTTCTAGTCACGAGCTGGATAATTCCAAAATGTCTATGCTCCACCCTTTCCACTTAGAAACTGAGGACTTCAGGAAGTACTGAGGGGAAAAGCTGTGATACAGTATTTGTTTTTAAAGAGGCCTAGTGGACATAATTTAAACAATAAACATTTTGAATATGCAGATCAGGTGCCACAACGTTAGGAATCTGAATAGAAATTTAGGATTTCTTTGGTCAGATTATAGGAAGGGCTGGTCCCATTTTGTGTTTGTCATAAAGAGTAGATTAAATGGATCTTTACTAGAAATAGTCCACACTCTTCCTTTTATTTATTTAATAAATATGGAAGGTCTGCTATATGCTAAAGCTTATGTTCTCATAGCCATAGCCCATTGTAACTCACATAGCACACATGTGAGTTGTTTTATATAATAGTTTCCTGTATTTTACTAAGGTGTAAAGATCCTTGATGCCTGGGATTATGTCTTACTCATTTTTGTGTTCCTAATATCAAGGAGCACGGTACCTTGCACATAGTAGGGACTTAATGAGTTTGAATGAATTATGCTGTAAAGCTCTTAAGAGAAATTAATAAAAACAGCGACACAACTTTTTCCGATTGCGCTAAGGCAGACATGTTATCGCTGGGCAAGTATTAAGTGTTTTTAGAGAAGTATGTTCACTTCACGAGTGACGGAAGAAGACTGCAGACCTGGGTGGAGACTGGTCTGGTAGCAGCATTGTTAATGCTCCTCTGGTCAGTCCAGAATGACTGTGAAGAGTCACTAGAATTTCGGTCTTCTCCTTCCAAAGTATTTTCACCCCTCTCACCTTTCCAGAACTACCTGCCTCTTTCCGCTTCTTCCCAAAGGGCTGGAGCCAACTGACTCTACATCAAAGTCTCAAGAGCCTACCCGTTCCCTCCCCTCCCAGCTCCGGTTCAAGAACTCTCCAGATCAGAGGCCTTAAGAACACAGGCCAGGAAAACACGGGGTCACACGCGGGGCAGGCGCCAAACTGGCCGCAGCCCTGAGAACGGCGCGGCAGGCGGGGCTGCTACGGGGCGGGGCGGGGCGGGGCGGGGCGGGGCCGGGCGGGCGGAGGCCTGGGGGCGGCTGGGGTGTCACCACCAACCCGCTCCGGCCGGAAACTGGCGCTAGTTTCCGGCCGGACTGCCGAAAGCCACCGATCCCGAGCCAGCCGCCGGAGTCGGAGTGGAGACGGGGTGTGGAGCAGGCAAAAAGCCACTGGGGGAGGCCAGTCCCGATCAGTGCCTTCTGGCTCCAGCTTCTGATCCCGTGCGGAGCAGCAGCCGCGGTCGCAGCCTCCGCCACCGCCTCCGCCTCCATCGTCGTCGGGGGAGGGGCCAGCCGGACCCCGGGGTCACAGCAGAGGAATGAGGAGAGGCGGCCGGGCCCCGCGCTCCGCCCCGGCCTAGGGCCTTGCCCCGGGAGCCGTGAGGGTAACGGAGCCCCCTGCCCTGTCACCCTCCCCCGTCCGTCCCGCCCCTCCCGCGTCTTCGGACTTCCAGACCCTGACCCCCCTGATCTCCACTGTCCCCCGTCTCTTTTCCGATGATATTCCACCCGGCGCCACCGCCTCCCGGCACCTCTCCGCGCCCCGGCTGTGCCTGCTTCGTCCCAGCCTTCCCCCGTTACTCCTCCCTTCAACCTGCGCCCCGCGTCCCCGGCCCCCTCCCCGCGCCCGGCCTCCCTCGCCAAGCGGTGCCGGGCGGTCTGGACGGTCCTCCCTCGTTAGCTAGACTTTCCGGGAGGGATGGTGGAGTTTGAAGGGGGTTGAGCGTGCGGGCTGCCCCCTATCCTGCCCCCATAGTAGGATAAAGTTCACTGTGAAGTCTCTAGAAAAGTACAACGAAGAGAAAACAAGCTTGTTTTCCCCTATAGACAAACTGAGGTGCGTCCAGTAATGGAGGAAGGGAGCGAAGGTGTGCGGGTGTGTGGGTGAGAGAGAGGGAGACTGATTGATAAATTCTAGGGCAGACTTGTGAACTCGAGAAAAAAAAGTTGCCATGAGCCGATGGAAACTTTAGAAGCTGATGATGAGTAAGCTGGGGGCTGCGTGATCTCACTCCTCTTCTCATAATTACTAGGTTAACGGTGTGGCTCCGGTTGGGATGGAATGGGATTTGTTTACTGGGCCGGCGTATTTTTAGCTTGTCGGCTCACAAGGACCAGAGCTTTGAGTCTCCCTGAGTCTCTCTCCGTCTCTGTCTCTCTCCCTCCCTGTCTAGGTAGTCTGTCTAACCTAGGTGGTTCCTCTGGGCACGATACTGATAGAGAAATTAAGTTGAAAGAAGTGGACTGGTGAGATTATATGGAAAAAGTCTCCCCCACGCTCTTCAGGGGGGTTTCCTTTTCATAAATGCAAAAGTAGGGATTAGCCGGACTTTGAGGTTTTTTTTTTTTTTTTTACTCATATGTAAAATGCTTTTTAGAAAAACCAGAAGCTGGTAATTTTTCAGTCTTGGCTGTCATGCTGTATATTTAGGAGGTCTTTGAGGAGGTTACATCCCTTTGTCTTTCAGAATCTATAAGATGGAAAAGGACAAGAAGAGGTAGTGGCAAGGCTAGTCCAAAAAGATAGCAAATCCTGCATTTAAAAAAAACATTTGGAAAATTTCTTTTCTAGTAAACGAGAGAGCATTCCTGGTGGAGTGAGGATAGCAGGGACTTATGCTGGGTGACTAGGGAGAATTAGGCTTATAATTAAAAGTTTGCCGTGCATAATTTGTAAATGAATACATTATAGGCAAACAATTATACTCTTTGTCCTCATTGTTTTTCTGAACAGTTCTTTTAAAGTTTAGGAACCAACCTGCTGTGCTAGTCTATTGATATTTTGAGGGCTGAACAGAACTGTAAAATAAATGAATTTGATGTTGCTCCTCTGAAGTGTGAATACCAGTCTTGTTCTAACTTCACTAGCTACCCGCATGCCTCACAGCACCTCCCAGAGTTAAGTGGCCAGTTACTATGTACTTAGTGCTCACAAATGAGTACAAATATTAGCTCATGCTAGGAATAATTGAGAAGGTAAATATGCTGAAAAGACCTTCCAAAACTGAAATAGATTATTTTTTGATTTTTTTTTCCATTTTGGAGTATCAGCACCCTTCTGCCAATAATTATCCATTAACATGAATAATTTAGAATTGAACAGATATCCACTTTGGGCATTATGCATTCAAGCAGGAAGGAAAGATGGAAGGAAGATAATTTCCAAACTATTACTAATTTTTTGTTGTTGTTGCCTGACTCAATCTATCCCTTTCATTTAATGCCAAAGACTCCCTTGTGGGGGGAAGAATGTAAACCTTTGCCAGAAAAAGGGCTGTCTGCTGATTTGTATAAGGCAGGCTGAACAGTAATGAATGGTAATTGTTAGTTGGACTTGATGGAGTTAGGTCACTAACAACTTGGAAATATTCCTGAAGCTTTATTTCCTTAATCTCCTACTTTTGGGGACCCCTACTGAAAAAAGATTTAATTTGGAGGGAAAAATAAAATTTTTAAAAATCACACACACCCAGAGTTTGTCGACTATCAATAATTGTCTTAATTTGTGAGTCAGTTTATGCCAATTATTATTGATGTCTGGAAATTTCTATTTATATCAATGAGATAATTAGGGGAGATTTTTGAATCAGTACAATTTGAAATAGGATTGGAGGCTGTGGATTAAAGTCATAAAGAGGCATGACCTGTGGAGTTAGATAGAACTTGGTTCAAATCTTGATTATGGCATTTATTATGTGACCTTGGACAATTTACTTCTCTATCCTTATTTATAAAATATGTATGAGCAGTCAAGCAAATTAAATAGTTATTCTTTGTTAGGAGTTTATGAAGATAAAAGAACTTCCATTCAGAAAGTATATTTATTTCTATTTATATCAACCTCCCCTGCATTTATTATTTGGTGGCTGGTGGGGTAGGCTGGGGATGGGGATTGAAGCAGTTGAATAAGTAGGAATAGCATAGGGCAGCCTAATAGTCTAGCACTATTGCCATTTTTCAGAAGGCATTGTTTGGGGTTTTGAGATTCAGTATATGTAACCCAGTGAATTATGATTAAAAACAGTATTAAAAATAAATTTTCAGATTGTTATGGGCACTAAGTGCCACTTGTTAAAGTTTTCAAGCTTCCCAAGCATGCTTAAGCATGCTAAGGATCGGGGATCCCTGGGTGGCTCAGTGGTTTAGCGCCTGCCTTTGGCCCAGGATGTGATCCTGGAGTCCTGGGATCAAGTTCCATGTCGGGCTCCTAGCATGGAGCCTGCTTCTCCCTCTGCCTCTTTATGTCTATCATGAATAAATAAGATCTCTTTAAAAAAAAAAACAAAACAAACAAAAAAAAAAAACTACTTCTCTTAAAAAAAAAAAAGAAAAAAAAAAAGCATGCTAAGGATCCTGGCAGATCCTTGTGAGGCTCTTTGTAAAGAGCACCTCCTCTTTTACCCCAAACATTCTCCCATCAAGGGAAAATCCTGAGACCGTGCTTTGAAGTGTGGCTTCAGCAGTGTCTTCCCAATAGAAATTTGGGAGCTGTGAAATCTTCTCAACAGTCCCTGATAAATTCAGGTAATTCAAATCTGTGTAATTGGGGCAGCCCAGGTGGCTCAGCGGTTTAGAGCCGCCTTCAGCCCAGGGTGTGATCCTGGAGACTCGGGATCGAATCCCATGTCAGACTCCCTGCATGGAGCCTGCTTCTCCCTCTGCCTATGTCTCTGCCTCTCTCTCTCTCTCTCTCTCTCTCTGTGTCTCTCATGAGTAAACAAAATCTTTAAAAAAAAAAGATATAAAAAATCTGTGTAGCTGGAATATAGATGGAGGGCAGTTTTAGGAATGTCAGAACTCAGTTGATTTTTTGATATGACGGAAGGTTTTTTTAGGAAAAGATTTATTTATTTGATAGAGTGTACATGAGCATGAGTGGGAGTGGCAGAGGGAGAGGGAGAGAGAATCTCAGGCAGACTCTACGGGGAACACAGAGCCTGATGTGGGGTTCAGTCTCAAGACCCTTGAGATCATGACCCAAGCCGAAATCAAGAGTCATATGGTCAGTGGACTGAGCCATGCAAGGCACCCTTGCATTTTGTTTTGTGAAGTAAGAAATCCTGGCTACATAATGATTGAGCACTCTTGTGGATAAAGCTCTCTCCAATCTCCAGTGACAGGCTTTGGGAAGATAGAAAAGATATAAAGACAGGTTTCCTTGCCCCTGGGACAGGGATAGGGTTGTGGAAGGTGATTTATATAAATGGGAAGGCACACTATTACAAGCTTTAATATTTAGAGCATAACATATAAACAAAACCAAGTTTAATGGCTATAAATGGAGTATATAAAGGCTAGAAAACTTGAAGTAACAAAGAGTCTGTGAGATTAATTAGGGAAGATATCTGAATTGGCAAAATTTGCAATGGATTTGGAGGCTGTGGATTAGAGTCATAAAGAAGCATGGCCAATGAATTTAGACAGACTTGGTTCAAATCTTGACTATGTGATCTTAGACAATTTACTTGTCTATCCTTATCTGAAATATGTGTGAGCGTTCAAGTAAATGAATAGCTATTCTATGTTAAGAGTAGAAGAAAATAAAAGATCTTCCAGGCAGAAAGTATAGAATGCAGCATGCAGTGATGGTATGAATGACTAAGTTGTGTTTGTTGGGAGAATAAATGAGAGGGACTGGAGAGAATGTGGGTGGTCAAGTCATGGGTAGAGCAGGCAAGAGGGTGGAGGGGACTCAGAGGCCAGACTGTTGGGTGTTGATGGAAGGGTCAATAGAGTCATTGTAGGTTCTTGAACAAAGAATAGATTTAATGAGAAGTATTGAGCCTTCTGGTCCAGGAACTCAGGGACAAGGAATCAGGCAGGCATCGGTACATTGTAACTCTTTGGTTTCTCTTCTGGACCATCTTGGCCTAAAGGGATCATCTAGGAGACATAGGATTCCTTGCAGAAGTTTTGTGGTCATACGTCTTACTAACTATGCTGAGCTTTGCTTGTACCTGTCTCAAATTGTACTATGCGCTTGTGGGCTAGTTGGATTATCCTCAATAGTTTATGGTAAGGAAGTATTGTGTTTTAAGTACATTTAACTTTCAGTTATCTCTGCTATAATAGTGAACAGTAGTATAAGTAATTCAAAACTTAATATGGAAATTTCTTGGTTAGAAAATCATTATTTTTAAAGCCAGATTCATTTTAATGTTTTGAGGATCATACTGATGTTGAAATGAATTTGCATTTCTAAGCCTATATTACCTGATGGTGAGGAGGTTATACTGATGACGTAGAAGAACAGTCAAACTTTGTTTAAAGATTATGCCTCAGAAATCCTATAAATTGGATAATCCATTTATTGATAATTAAGACAGGGCTATATGAATATATTAATGAAGACCAGTTTCTTTTCAAAATCTGTGCAGGTCCAGTG